ATTTCTGATCCACACTTAGTTGAAAAAAATCTAGATATAAAGTGGACCCACGCGTTTTCAGACTGGTGATGCCCCCAAAGTCAACTGTGGTTGCTCTAGCAATCAAAAAACAATAAGAGGAATTTTAAATAATGTCATGTCGGTAAGTTTGGGAAAACTGGATGTAATGGATAAATTCTTAGAAAAATTAAATTTGCCAAAACTGACTCAGGAAAACCAGAAGTCCTGTAACCTTGAAATAAAAAAAAAATCCGTAGGTAAAAATCTCACAGAGAAAACATGAGATGGTTTTTTTCTCTTGAAGTTCTATCAAAACTTCAAGGAGGAATAAAGTCTTAACAAACTCTTTCTGGAAAATGTAAATTGAAAAAGCCCAGAAGGAATTCATACCACCTCACTTTATGAGTCTGGCATCAGCTTGACCACTCACCCAAGCAAGGGATAGCTGAAGAAAGGAAAACTGCACACCAGACTCACCCCCTCCGCCCAGGTCAGGAGGCAAGGTACCTCAGTCAGGTTCCCAGCTCACCTGCCCTGGGAATATAAGATAGGCTTAGAGGTCAGACAGTCTGTTACAATGACTCAAAACTGAGAGGGGTTAGATACAGATGGTTTGTTTCTTTTAAGAGTCTGCAGTAACCCTTATTTTTCCTGCCCATTACTTTTTACCTCATAATGCACTTATAATATGGGTATTTTTTTTAATACCCATTTGTGAAAACAACAGCAACAAACTTTGGGGTAATTAGAAGCAGACGGGCTCAGCGCCCATAGCACAGTGGTTATGGCACCAGCCACATACACCAAAGCTTGTGGGTTCGAACCCAACCTGGGCTGGCTAAACAATAATGGCAACTGCAACAAAGAATAGCAGGTGTTATGGTGGGCGCCTGTAGTCCTAGCTACTTGGGAGGCTGAGGCAAGAGAATCACTTAAGCCCAAGAGTTTGAGGTTGCTGTGAGCTCAACCATAGCACTTGACCAAGAGCAACATAGGGAGACTCTGTCTCAAAAAAAAAAAAAAAAAAAAGGCAGACAGGACTTCTTCATGCAGTAAAAGACTGAAAAGATTGGTATATTCACCACTGTAGAGGACACAAAATTTGGGACATTCCTGCCATAGACAGCACAGAGTGGGACACCGGCCTGGACATTCACACCCTAGACTGCAATACAAAGATGGAAATGAGCAAGATCTGTGTGCCAGGAACAGACATGACTGAGGATTACGGTGAGGGAGAGTCTCTAAAGCCTCATGAAGCTGGAGAATGAAATTATAATGTCCATACAGGTAAAAATGAACTTTAAAAAGTGATCCTACCCTCTTAACATTTTTTGCAATGTTCTTAAATTTAAGAAGAGTTTGCTAGGCTGAGTGTGGTCGCTCATGCCTGCAGTCCCAGCACTCTGGGAGGCTGAGGTGAGTGGATTGCCTGAGCTCACAAGTTTGAGACCAGCCTAAGCAAGTGGGAGACCTTGTCTCTGAAAAAATAGTCGGACATGTTGTGGACAGCTGTAGTCCCAGCTACTCAGGAGGCTGGGACAAGAGGATCACTTGAGCCCAAGAGTTTGAGGTTGCTGTGAGCTGTGATGCCATAGCACTCTACCAGGGGCAACAAAGTGACACTCTTGTCTCAAAATAAATAAAAATCTTTTACAATAAAGAAACATTTGTTTCTATTATCAAGTGAAATCACTTTTTATTGAAAAACAGCATTGGAGCCAGGACCCCATCACGAGGTGCCATCAGAGCACAGGTATCTGGGACATGAACACCTGAATTTATGGGGGAGTTTTGGCTTTTGTATTTGGGCATTTTTACAGTAATTTTTGTACTGCTCTACCTTGTTTAAATCCTTTACAAAGAATGTGTCCTTTTTACAAAATCAAAGTGGATTTTTTTAAAAATACAAAGGTTAGAATCTGGGTGTCGTGGCTCACGCCTATAATCCCAGCACTCCAGGAGGCCAAGGCAGGATGACTGCTGGAGCTCAGGAGTTCCAGACCAACCTGAGACAGAGCAAGACTCCGTCTCTTAAAAAAAATAGGGCAGTGCCGGTAGCTCAGTGGGTAGAGCGCCAGCCACATACACCAAGGCTGGTGGGTTCGAACCCAGCCCAGGCCAGCTAAAACAATGACAACTGCAACAATAGCAACAACAAAAAATGAGCAGGCGTTGTGGCGGATGCCTATAGTCCCAGCTACTCAGAAGGCTAAAGTGAGAGAATCACTTGAGCCCAAGAGCGTGAGGTTGCTGTGAGCTATGACTCCAGGGCGACAAAGTGAGACTCTGTCTCCAAAAACAAAAACACACCCAGGAGCAGGTGTGACTGACCCTGTGCTGGGGAGGGCAGCCTCCTGTGGTTCCATAGTTGTACTTGCAGCATTATTAAAGCCCTCCCCCCATAAAAAGAAATGGAAAGACTGGATAATTACATGCTGTATGAGAAAACAAAATAAAAACTATGTGAAAATCACAGAAAATGAAAAGAAACAATGTGAGAGAAGGAAGAGCCCAGTGGTCAACCCAAAATGTGTGGGCAAGACAAGTGGACATGCTGGCAGGGCCACAGGGCCCCTGCTCCTGCTGTGTGACTCAGGGCAGTGTCTTGAGGTCTCTTAGCTCCTGAGGAACATGGAGCAACAGACACTTTGAGCCTCTGATGAGTACAGCCCAGCTTGCCCTGTTCCCTGGAACCGGCTGGTTGTGCCTCACAGGGGACGGTGCTCCCACAACCTGGTGAGCACAGAAGAGAGGGCTTGTCCTCGGGAGCCTGCCACACTGGCAGAGCGAGCCGCACCTGGTCCTCAGAGAGGGAAAGAGGGACCTTATTCTTATGGACTTGGGCTGGGCCACGACTCCCGCCCTATGTGTGTCACTTGCACTTTCTGGGCTTCTCTCCTGGGGCTGCAGGTGACATCCTATCTGGTGACATCATCCAGATCTGAGACCTCACAAGAGACTTTCAGACAGCTAGACTTGGGACTTCAGGGGAATGTGGAATGGGGTGAGGAAATTAGTAAGTTTCATAGAAGAATTGCTGACGGTCTGAGACAGGAGGGACGCACCACAAGTCAGGGTGCACCCCTCTAGGTCTAAGAGTACCACAGGATTTGGAGAGGGAAGGAACTTGGTGTCACTGCTGTCAAACAGCATGGAAAGGAGGGAGTCAGTGCAGGAGCTTTCCACCTGCTCTACCCTTGGCTTCGTGCCCCCTACCCCACTCTACCCCGCTGTCTGCCCCATCTCTTCCCTGACTGACCCCATGCTCTTCGGGCCACTGCTGGTCTCACTGAGACCCATGTGTGGAACACCATCTGCACCCCCGTCACCCTGGTTGCGGTGGGGGGTCTTCCCCGGTCCGTGAACACCACAGGCCTTGCAGGGCTGTGACCTCAGCAGTGCTGCCACCATCCATGTGCATTCCAGAGCCAGAAATTCACGAGTTGTTCTTTTTTTTTTTTTTT